GGTATTTTGGGTATTTTCCGAAATCAGCTTGAAACTTACTTAAGTAATCTCAATAATATCTTATAATGTGTAATTTTTACTAATATGTGTAGTCTGTAAGAACATCCTGTTCATAGACTTCATAAACAAATAAATAAATAAATAAATAAAAAAGAAACTGGTGCGTGGGTATGGGCCTAAGCATCAACCCCTCCAAAACAGATTTTTCCGCTTTTCTAGAAGAACCCTTCCAGGTATGAGGAACATCACTTTGAATCAAGCACCTGGGATTAATACTAGACTTCAGACTTCTGTGAAAGGCGAATCTTGACGCAATCACTTCCAAAGCTACGAGGGCACTCAAGGTATGTAAATGTCTGGCAGGAAAGACTTGAGGCTGAGATCCTTAGATGTATACATACCATGATAGTTAGACCAATGTCACTTACGGGGGCAGCGACCTGGGTCTTGAGAATCACCCTTGACATGTCCAACGGCAGCGCTGGAGGGCATTCTCGAGCACGAGCCGCTGCACCTTACCATAGAACAGATAGCGAAGCGAACTCTACTAAGCTCCACGAAAGGCTTTGGCAGAAGCAAAACCGTGTCATCGAGGAATAGAGACAAGCTAGGCTTCCAAATCGCATTAGCTTTACTCTTTATGGATAATAGGCTCAAATCAGTTGACTTTGACAGGAAATAGAGCTTTGCAACAAAGGGAGCGGACCGGTTAGCCAGAACGGGAGTGGCCTCATCGCCTTTAGGGCGAAACCTTTCCAATCAGCTTTAAAAAATTTTATATAGGTCCGGTGTTCCGGGGAAGCAAAGTCGGTTTGTTTATCGATCGAGATGACTATGGGCACATGGTCTGATGCCAACGCCAGCGTAGGTCGCCATGATACACTGTTTATCTGACCAGCGCTGAGTATTGTTGCCTGGCGAGCTGCAGCAGCTGTCCATAATCCTGGTGGGCGCGTCGTCGTTCATTGTGCAGAATGCTGAACCGTCTATCTGATCAGCCAAGTCTGTTCCCCTATGATCGTTTGACAGGCTTGAATACCAAAGAACGTGGTGCGAATTAGTCACCTACTACCGTACGGTTTTCACCTCTGAGGACCGCACCTATATCAGGGTGATATCCTGCCGGGCAGCAGGTGACAGGAGGTATGTGAACGTTAAATATTTCGAGCTCAACATCGCCTGAGCGGTTAGCAATGCCCTGAAATTCTAGGGTGGTATCCTTGCGGTTGATGTCTGCTTCAATAAGACGATTCTGTACGGTGTGATGAACGCTAAGCCACCACCATTATCTTCCTCGCGATCTCGACTGTGCACGTTGTATCCGGCACAATTCAACAATGCTGAATTGCTGTGCAACTTCGTCTATTGGACCGCTTCTATCAAAATGCCATGCCTTCCCATGAATACGGTTATCTCCTCGATCTTACTCTGAAGTCCCTTATAGTTAAATTGAAGGAGCTTCATGTGGTTCGGGAGTCGTGTTGTTATGCGGGGCACCAGCCAACACAGGTGTTGCACTTGATTTATGTCACGTTACGGAATATCCTGGTTTGACATACCGTGCAGATTGTAGGAGGTACCAAGAGTTGTTGGCGGCGGCGTGTTGATGGTGGTGCGGTTGTGCCCGTTGTGGTGTGGTCTATTGTGTTGTTGTGGGGCTGTGGTATTTGTGTTGAGGTGTTCAGGCGGACTGGGGTCAGGTTTTACAGGACTTGCAGGAAAAGCTGTTTTCTCCATTAAACAACCTTATGGAGGGTGATCACCTGGAACGGCTTCCTGTAAAAACCTGCAAATCCTGAAGCATCTGGAACGCTCATATTGGCTACACAGTAGCAACAATTACGAAAAAAAAATTGATCTCATGAAAATTTTGTAAGTACTTAGGAAGGAGTTATAAGACTCTGGTCTACAGATCCATAGTTGAACCACATTTCATATACTGTCCAACAATCCTTTTTATAGCAAGCGAAACACAAATCGATAAGCTTCAAAAAGTGCAAAATATTCCTTATTCACATAGCAGAAGCGACTAAGGTCGTTGAACACATCCCCAGCGCAGGTGACCATTCAGTCTGATGTGACCCATCAGAAAACCGGTCAATATTCTTACTCTCTCTTTTGGGGAGGTTTATTATTGCGATGTTATGTGGAACGATTTTTCGTCATCCCTTTCGAAAACGAAAAATTATACTGAAGATGGCACAACGCCGAAACCGGTTTGTCTCCAAATTTGATAAGGGGTGACGGAAAATCGCTCCACATTACATAACACTCCTACCCTGTAGGAAACACCAACAATGAAAATGAGTTTATTATTGCTCTATATCTTGTAAGGTTGTTATCCCCCAGTAGGCTCTTAGCCTGGCGTAGGCCTACCGTGTTATGCCAGTGCTGACTCCTTACTGTGATCCTCTCCTTCTTGAGCTCTTCCTTGATTGTACTAGGACCGCTATGAAGGGCTCAGGCCCTATAGGCGACGAGGCGGCTGCTGTCCTAGCTAGTCGGTCCTCTTCCTCATTGCCGACAACTCCTACGGGACCTGGCACCCAAGTTAATTGGATGTCGTTGTACACCGCCAGGGTGTTGAGCTTGTCAATACACTCAAGAACCAGATAGGATTTAACCTCAAATGATGAGAGTTCCTTGAGTGTTGCCTGGCTGTCGCTCATGATTAAATTATTTAATTACGATACTTCCTACGTTACGAATCAACGCTGCCGCCTGTTTAAGCCCTGCACGTGATATATTTACGGTATTGCTTGGAATCACGTTCATTCCAATAGCATCGAGAATATGTTATCTTAGTTAATTATATATAAACTATTTTATAGCTTAGAATGAAAATTTTAACCTGGTAACTTATATTAAGCTTTAATTTTACTGTAATAAATTAGTATGTATGTATGTACATAGTCACTCACAGAAGTATTCGTAATTTAGTTTTTTCACAATATTCAAAACGTTTTCCATCATAAATCTTTTTCGTTAATTTTCATTAAAAATATAGCTCATTCGATAACAAAAACCATATAAATCATTCTCGAAAACTTTGTATAAAATTCATAAAAATGAATCAAACTTAAAAAAAATATCATCTAAATTTCAAACTTTTTATTCAGAATTTTTAGAAAAATTTTCGGTATGCAGTTTTGTAGCCCGTTCAATATTGATATCATAAAGTACAAGTAGCTAAAAATTACTACTGATGTTTTTATTTTTTTTTTTCTTTGTCGAGAGTTTTGCGCATTTTTTCCATATAAAAGTGGGTTTTGCTCATGCCTTATATGGAAACAAAAATAGGATCGATAGAGACCATTGAGGTGAACATAACGGTATATTTATTTTTTTTGGGAAACAACAACTACAACAATTATTAAAGGTCAAAGTTCAAATTAAGCATTTTCTCAAATTAATATTTCTCGAAAACCTCTTCAAGGAATTGGACAATTTTGATGTCATTTGATAGAGAATTTAATTCTCTTTAATTTGATATACATATTTATACATATACCTTTTTATAGTTTTCACGAAAATGGAATTAATGTGGAAAAAATGTATACAGGGTTTTTGTGTATAAACACCTTTCTCCGTAGGCGGCCTTCGGCCGCACTTACGGATTATAAGTTATAATTTATATAATTTATAACCCTCAAAAAGTAGAATTCTCTTTCTGTGTTGCGAAGAAAAGGCGCTGAACACCTTTTGCAGAGAACACCTTTCTGCGTAGGCGGCCTTCGGCCGCACTTATGGATTATAACCCTCACAAAGTAGAATTCTCTTTCTGTGTTGCGAAGAAAAGGCGCTGAACACCTTTTGCAGAGTACACCTTTCTGCGTAGGCGGCCTTCGGCCGCACTTATGGATTATAACCCTCAAAAAGTAGAATTCTCTTTCTGTGTTGCGAAGAAAAGGCGCTGAACACCTTTTGCACAGAACACCTTTCTGCGTAGGCGGCCTTCGGCCGCACTTATGGATTATAACCCTCACAAAGTAGAATTCTCTTTCTGTGTTGTGAAGAAAAGGCGCTGAACACCTTTTGCAAAGAACACCTTTTGCAAAGAACACCTTTCTGCGTAAGCGCTAAATAAATATGTATACAAATTAAAGAGAATTAAATTCTCTATCAAATGATATCAAAATTGTCCAATTCCTTGAAGAGGTTTTCGAGAAATATTAATTTGAGAAAATGCTTAATTTGAACTTTGACCTTTAATAATTGTTGTAGTTGTTGTTT